TGCCCACCACTAGGCTGATTTTTCATAGCCATTGCCACCACTAGGGGCTTGCACTTTTCATAGGGCACGCCGGCCCACACTTAGGGCTGATTTTTCATAGCCATTGCCCACCACATAGGGGGCCCCTGGATTTTTCATAGCCCACAAACCATCACCAGGTGATTTTCATAGCCATTGCCACACTGTTAGGGGCTGATTTTCATGAGCCATTGCCTCCACCACTTAGGCGATTTTTCATACCAGCCACACTTAGGGCTGATCTTGCATAGCCATTGGCCCACCCACTAGGGGCCTGATTTGGTCATCCCCATGCCCCACCACTTAGCTGATTTTCATAGCCATGGCATCACTAGGCTTGCATTTTCATAGCACGGCCCATCCACCAGGGGCTTGATTTTCATTAAGCCATGCCCACCACTCGGTCTGATTTTCATAGCCACACCACCACTTTAGGGGGCTTGATTTTCATACCCAGCGCCATCCGACTAGCCTGATTTCACGCTAGGCCCCCCGACGGCCGCGCACTAGTGGGCCTCAGCGTTTTCAATAGGCCACGCCACACTAGCCGGCTGCCGCTTCTTCATAGCCCAACGCCCACCACTAGCGGGCCTGCATTTTCATAGCCCCACGCCCACCACTCAGGGCTCGCATTCTTCATAGCCAACGCCCCCCAACCGCACCTAGGGGGCTGATTTCAGTAGCCACGGCCCCATCACTAGGGCTGCGGTTTTCTTAGCCACAACGGCCCATCACTAAGGGGCCTGCGTTTTCTTAGCCACGCCCCATCACTAGACTGATTTTCATGGCCACCCCCACACCGGGCGCTGAGTTTTCATGCGCCCACCCACCCATCACGTTTAGCGGCCGGCTGATTTTCATAGGCCAATCCCATCACTCAGGCGCTGGATTTTCATAGCCACGCCCATCACTAGGGGCTAGGTTTTCTTAGCCACGCCCCATCACTAGGGACTTGATTTTCATGGGCCCACCCATCACCAGGGCTGATTTTCATAGCCACGCCCACCTCTAGGGCTGATTTTCATAGCCACGCCCATCACTAGGGCTGATTTTCATAGCCACGCCCGTCACTAGGGCTGCTTGTTTCATAGGTAGGGCTTATTGTCAGGGAAACGGGGTTCCAGCTGCTGTCTTCCGCCCTCTTAGGTTGCAGACACGTTCAGCATCACCATTCGGCCGGTGGACGACTCACTGCCCGTCGTCCAGGACTGGGGCACCCGGGTGCAGGGGGGCTCGTGGAAGACCCTCTCCGAGTCCGAGCTCACGGCGGTGGACGGGGAGACCGAGGTAGGAGCCCCTCTGCCCCCACTCGACCCCCGGTTCTGTGGCTACCTGGGAGGCAGTGACAATGGTGGCAGCTGTATTTTTTTATTTGTTTGTTTGGGTTTTTGTTATATATTTTTTTTGGGACAGAGTCTCACTCTGTTGCCCGGGCTAGAGTGAGTGCCGTGGCATCAGCCTCGCTCACAGCAACCTCCAACTCCTGGGCTCAAGCGATCCTCCTGCCTCAGCCTCCTCCCGAGTAGCTGGGACTACAGGCACGCGCCACCATGCCTGGATAACTTTTTTTTTCTATATATTTTTAGTTGTCCAATTAATTTCTTTCTAGTTTTAGTAGCGACGGGGTCTCGCTCTTGCTCAGGCTGGTCGCGAACTCCTGAGCTTGAGCGATCCTCCCGCCTCGGCCTCCCAGAGTGCTGGGATGACAGGTGTGAACCACCGCGCCCGGCCCACAATGCTGTATTATTGATTTTTCTCTGCCCCTGTCCCTCACACGAACAGCTCTTCCTAAAACAAACAACCGAGAAAACAGGACGAGGAATGGGAAAAAGTCAAAATCTCTCCCATGAAAACCTCTTCCAGATCTGGCGTAATCCCAGTTGGATGTTTATTTTTTCTTTTTCTTTTTTTTTTTTTCTTATTTTATTTCTTTTCTTTCCCCACCCCCTTTTTACTATAGCTTTGTAGTATAATGGATCTTTCTTTTACTTTTTTTTTTTTTTTTTTTGAGACACAGAGTCTCTGTTGTCCAGGGTAGAGCAAGTAGCATGGTGTCAGCCTTGCTCACAGCAACCTCAATCTCCTGGGCTCAAGCGATCCTCCTGCCTCAGCCTCCTCCCGAGGAGCTGGGACTACAGGCATGCGCCACCACGCCCGACTAATTTTTTCTATATATTTTCGGTTGGCCAATTAATTTATTTTTAGTTTTAGTAGAGACGGGGTCTCGCTCTTGCTCAGGCTGGCCTCGAACTCCTGACCTGGAGCAATCCTCCTGCCTCGGCCTCCCAGAGTGCCGGGATGACAGGCGTGAGCCGCCTCGCCCGGCCGTAACGGAGGATTCCGACGTTGGCATTTCCATGTTGATTTCTGTCACCCTCTCGTGAAAAGCTTCACGAGGGTTAGTTAAAGGGAAATGCTCTGTGCGTTGGTCCGTCTCGGGGCCGTGCTGAATGACAGGCGTCCGTAGCAGGTGAAATTCCAGGGAGAGCGCCACCTGCCTCCTGATTGTCCTCGTGTCCCGGATCGGCGTCCTCCCTGCTGGGTGCTGACCGGGCTGGGCACTGGCTCAGTCGCCCGTTGTGGGTGTCTCGGCATCGCCGGATTTCGGGGGTCCCGGCCTGGGTGTCCCGGACCAGGCAACCTGGTTCCGTGCCCACAAATGACGTGTTCTCTTCTCCGGCCTCCCTCTCCCCGCAGACCTCGACGGCGGGCCCCCGGCAGTTCGGGATGGACGTTTTCCCGGAGGACGAGGTCACGCCCAGGGTCGTCACCAACCTGGGGCTGCAGTGGCTGCAGTACGTGGACGGCCAGGTGAGCCCGTCCCCTCTGTCTTCCTCAGGCTGCCCGGAGAGGGCTGCGGCCTCGCTCATGACAGTGACTTCGTTTTCCTTTTTTGAGACAGAGTCTCGCTCTGTCGCCCGGGCTAGAGTGAGTGCCGTGGCGTCAGCCTCGCTCACAGCAACCTCCAACTCCTGGGCTCAAGCGATCCTCCTGCCTCAGCCTCCCCCCGAGTAGCTGGGACTGCAGGCATGTGCCACCACGCCCGGCTTGTTTTTTTCTAGATATATACATATTTTTTTTTATTTTAGTTGTCTAGCTAATTTCTTTCAATTTTTTTGGTAGAGACAGGGTCTTGCTCTTGCTCAGGCTGGTCTTGAATTCCTGAGCTCCAACAATCCTCCTGCCTCGGCCTCCCGAGTAGCTGGGACTACAGGCATTCGGCCACCACGCCCGGATAATTTTTTCTATATATTTTTAGTTGGTCAATTAATTTCTTTCTATTTATAGTAGAGACGGGGTCTCGCTCTTGCTCAGGCTGGTCTCCAACTCCTGACCTCGAGCGATCCTCCCGCCTCGGCCTCCGAGTGTGCTGGGATGACAGGCGTGAGCCACCGCGCCCGGCCTAACACTCTTTTCGTATCGTCTCACGTCCCTGCAGACACTGAGCTTGCCCGGGAGCCCTTTCTTTCCCGGTAAACCGAGGATTCCCCCTGAGGGCGGAGGCCGGGACGGGTTTCGGGCCTCCTGGCCTCTCAGGAGACCGTGGCTGTGCCAGATCGGATCTGGGTCGGACGGACGGGGCCGAGTGTCCCCAGCCCAGGAACTGAGCGTGGTGGGTTCTCTTCCAGGCCACCAACCTCATCACGAGGAGGGAGCTGCTCACCACGGACCCGGACACCCCCGACCCCCAGCTCGTCTACCAGATCACCGCCGGCCCCCGGCACGGCCGCGTGGAGACCAGCCTGCAGCCCGGCAGGGCGGCCGCCGCCTTCTCCCAGGGTGGGGACGGGCTGGGCCGCGCGAGACGTCTCCTCTGTTGTGTTATGTTATGTTATTTTATATTTTATTTTTTATTTTATATTATTCTATTTTTTTGTTTTTATTTTGTTATGTTATTTTATTTTATTATTTTATATTATTCTATTTTTTGTTTTTATTTGATGTTATGTTATTTTATTTTTTTTATATTTTATTTTATTTTTTTATATTTTATTTTATTCTATTTTTTGTGTGTTTTTTTAT